ACCAAGAGGACCCCTCTCTCCTTCAAGGGTCAGTATCGTGGCTCCAAACCCTTGATAACAAAAACGGCGTTTTTAACCCCCTACTCTCTCCCCTCAGTTTCTCATACTTCATTTACCTCAGATACTCTACCTCCTCTGACTACTTACCTCAATAGACTCCAGCCATTCCGCACAAATTCCTATCGGTCTGGCAATCTATAATTAACAATAACTGGGTCCTTGACATAGTTCACAGAGGGTATGCCATCGAATTTTACTCTTACCCTCCTCTGGGATAGGTCCTTCTCACTCAATCCTCCCCGACCCTTTTGGGAGGAAATCCATTCTCTCCTACAAAAAGGAGCTATCTCCCTCATACCTCCTCACCAAGCACACATCTGCTTTTTCCTCACTATTTCTTAGTAAATAAGATAGACGGAGGACAATGCCCCATCCTAGACGTCTGATGTGTCAACAACTTTATCAGACCACGCAAATTTCGCATGATCACACCACCATCCTCCCCTTTATCAGAGGCAGAACCTGCCTTGCCACGGTGGATCTTAGAGACGCCTATTTCCACATTTCTATCAGAGAAACCCACCACAGATTTCTGTGCTTTGCACTAGATGACCACATTTTCTCCTTTAATGTTTTACCCTTTGTTCTTTCCACTGCACCCAGGGTCTTCGCCAAATGTATGGCCGTTTTTGCAGCCCATCTCCGCCGACGCGGCATCACCATTTTTCCTTACATAGATGACTGGCTTTTCTGTTCAGATTCTCACTCCCAACTCTTTTCTGACATTTCCCACACTTTATCTCTCCTACAGGAGCTCAGGCTCGTTGTAAACCATGAGAAATCCCATCTGATACCGACACAGTGCATCCACTTCATAGGTGCCATAATAGATTCCATATCCCAGTGAGCATACCTACCAGATAATCGGTTTTCCAACCTCCGACAAGCCATCATCAATCTCCATTCACAAGGCCACACCTCTGCTTGGGCTATCCAGTCCCTATGGCCTCCACCACCAATGTCACTCCATTTGACCTTCATCTCCACCCCCTTCAATCCTGGTTTCTCACCATATTCAACCCTCTTCACGACTTTCAAACCTTGATCCTCCACACTCCCTCTCCTGTCCTCCACTCCCTCTCATGGTGGACAAAGTGGTCCAATGTATGCTCAGGTCTCCCATTCATACTCCCCACCCATCCCTGTCACTAACGACAGATGCCTCCTCTCTCGGCTGGGGCGCACATCTCCAAGACCAGACAACATGTCGGTGAAATTCTACCTCAACAAACAAGGAGGAACTCACTCCCTGACCCTCCTTTCTCTCTCAACCCGAATCTGGGAATGATGCAAACAGAGAAATATCTTCCTGATTGCAGTCCATCTCCCTGGAAAAGACAACACGCTAGCAGACTCCCTAAGTAAGCAGAGCACCAATCACCAGCTACGAGTGGCGCCTCCATCCCAGAGAATTCAAATTTTTAATCCACCATGGGGCCGTCCACAAGTGGACATGTTTGCATCCCCTGGAAACACCCACTGCCCCCATTTCTGCGCGAGACTCCACCCTTGTTCATCCCCAGGTTGTCTAAGAGTCACCTTCCTTTTTCAATGGACTCCCGGTCTCATATACATTTCCCCCTTCTTCCCCTACTCTCCAGAGTAGTAGCGGTCATCACCGACAAGGCCAATTGCATCCTAATAGCCCCATGGTGGCCCAGACAACCATGGTTCGCTCTGCTCCTTTCAGCAGCGGCGAATACCTTTCTTCGCCTTCAGTCTAGTCCAGACCTCCTCACTCTACAAAATGGCCTGATCCAACACCCAGACCTTCCAACTCTTCTCCTGACGATGTGGAGGATCAGACCATAGGCCACCTTTCTGACACTGCACGCTTAATAATCCTAGCAGCCTAGAAAACTTCTACTAAAAAATCTACACCTACAAACTTCACTGAATCCCCTGGACTGTAACCCTCTCCCAGCCCCAATCCCCATGGTTTTGGACTTTCTGGTCCACCTTTCCTCACAAAATTTCTCCTTCTCCTCCATTAAGTGCTATCTTGCAGCACTCTCATGGTATAGGAGAAAATCTGGTCTATCGTCTCTTTTCCAAGACTCCCTAATACAACTATTCATCAAGGGTTATAAAAACATTCACCAACCAGTTTCCCCACCCTCCCTCCCATCATGGAGCCTTGAGCTTGTCTTATCCCAACTCTCTGAGCCCCCTTTCGAACCCATGTCTTCCCACCTCTCCTGGAAAACAGCATTTATTGTAGCCATCACTTCCACAAGAATAGCCTCCCTTCATTAGGTTCCACGAGGACAAGGTTTTCCTCTGTACCGATGTCACCCTACCTGCCTTTTTCTCCAAACCCTCCTCACCCCTTGAGTTTTCACTCCATTCTCTAGATGTCAAAAGGGCCCTCTCCTTCTACATATCCAGAACGGCCTCCTATAGAAAGTCACCAAGACTTTTCCTCAAATATAGGAGAGATGCCCTCGGCCTCCCAATATCATCTCAAAGACGTTCATCCTGGATAATATGCACAATTCGCCTGGCCTGCCAACTAGCTGGTAAAGACCCACCATCTACCCTCCATGCTCACTCTACGAGGTCTTTCTCGATTTCTCAAGCCTTCCTCCGGGGTGTCTTCGTTCAAGATATCTACAAAGCAGCAATGTGGACAACACCCTTCATGTTTGCAACTCACTGTAAGCTCGACATCCTTGCCAAGAGAGATGCAGCCTTCGGCAGAGCTGTTACTTTTTCATGTGTGGTATTACCCACCTCCAGTTTTCTAGTTACCCAACATGTGTGCATTTCATAGACTACACGAAGAAGAAATATAGGTTGCTTACCTGTAAACGTCTTTCTTCGAGTGTCAGTCTGTGAAAGTCGCACATCCACACCTGTCCTCCCCTCTTATGTCATGTCTCTCTCCTGGCTGCTGTCTGGCGGCAAGGAACTGAGGCAAAGCCCCGCCTACAGACCTATATTCTTATAAGCGAGAATGGTCTGAAATCACTGCGCATGTGCAGGAAACCCAACATGTGCAAATTTCACAGACTGACACTCGAAGAAATACATTTACAGGTAAGCAACCTGTATTTCCCTCAACTCACCCCCCAGACCCTGCATGGAGTTTAGAGTTGGTCCTATCACAACTGTCTAAACCTTCGTTCGAGCCCTTAGCCATGACTGACCTGCAGTACTTGTCCTGGAAGATGGCTTTCCTCATTGCAATCACATCTGCGAGGAGGGCCAGTGAATTATGCGTACTCAGAGTGGATGAACCCTATCTTTGGTTTCATGCGGACAAGGCAGTTCTCCGGACAGATGTTGCCTTCCTGCCAAAGGTCATGTCACGTTTTCATCTATCCCAAGACATCATGCTGCCAGCATTCTTCCACAACCTGACAACACAGCTAGAACACACCGTACACACCTTAGTTGTCAGAAGGGCTCTTGCCTTCTATGTCGACAGAACTCGCCTACACAGATGATCACTGCGGCTCTTTTTGAAATCCAGACAAGATGTGTTGGGTATGCCGTTGACACTTCAAAGGCTGTCCTCCTGGATCGTTGCCACCATCCATCTAGCATATCAACTATCTGGCCGTGAGCTCCCCCCCCCCCCCCCCCCGTGATGAAAGTTCACTTGACCAGATCTCTGACTATTTTCCAGACCTTCCTCAAGGGAGTGCCTCTGTAGGACATTTGCCATGCGCCGACTTGGGCGACTCCTTCTACCTTTGTGACCCATGACAAGGTGGACTCCCTATCCAGGAGGGATGCCACCTTCAAAAGAGCAGTGCTGTTTTCATGTGTGGCATTACGCTCGCCTACTAAGCTTGCTAGTCAACCATATGTTTGCATTTCACAAGGACTACACTGAGGAAGAATGGGTTGCTTACTGTAACCATGTTTCCTCCAGTGGTCATCTATGAAATCCACACATTCCAGCCCATCCTCCCCGCTGGATGTCATGCTCTGGTATCCTTGGGCTGCATTCTGCGACTAAGGAACTGGAGCAGCAGCCCTGCCTACTGGCTATATGTCAGGTAGAATGGGCGGGGTTACTGCCAAAAAGTATCTTCTAAGATTCTAGAGAGTTTGAAACTCTGCAGGTGCAGGAGACCCATATGTGTGGATTTCACAGGTGACCACTGGAAGAAACATGGTTACAGGTAAGCATCCCATTCTTCCAGTCCCAAGGTCAGAAGACAAAGTGGACTGATGAGGATAGGTCAGAGAAGAGGAACTTGTTTTGAATGTTTAATTGGTTAGTTAAAACATTCATCTCCTGTGTCCCAGCGGATTCCTTTTTGTGTCTGTCATACAAAACCACAATGAAGAGCAGTGACCAAAGTGTAAAACAGAGGATGGAAGCATAGAAGAATAGAATCCTTGATTTGGAAGAGACAACAATGGCCATCCAATCCAATCCGCTGCTGTGTAGAACTCACAGTTAACAGATGGGTCTTTCTCCAAAACCCTATCAGCCTTCTAGGCTCCAATAGAGAAGTTTTGGCATGCTATACTGTAGCATTAACTAATTGTGACTTTTACACCTTTGTGGGCTGCTCGAGGTCATTTGCTTTACTTGGATGGTGTTTACTCAGACATAGTACTACAAAGGAATTACATGTGTTTTGTGTAACAGGCATGTGAGAGAGAGAGAGAGTGATAATTCTATAGATGGGATACTCTCGGTTTTGAAGCATTTCTTCATTTCCAAGTGGTACTTTCCACTAAAGAACCCCAATTCATTGCCTATTATTGTATAGGCACAGAATTTTTCTATATTTATTTATATGTTTGCCTTCTGTGGGGAGATAGGATGGAATATGAATAAAGTGATTTATTTATTTATTATTTAAAACAAAACCAGTTCTTGATTGCACTTTAGCAACGCTAGTGAGGGGCAAGTGCCAGGCTGCTGTTGATGTTGTTTTAGTGGATAACTTTTTCCTTGTTTCTCTCTCCTTATCCAGGGGATGAATGTGTTGACAGCAGAGATGCAACAGCTCCAGAAAACAACTTGAAAATAGCAGATGCCAAGATTGAGAATACCGGTAGGTATGAGGGCTTTTAAAGAGAACAAGAACTGTGGGATAACCCCCAGGCTGTGTGCGGCATTATTTTTCTGGTTGAAGTCCTTTACCTACTTAGCTTGGTGGTATGTCCCAGACTAAGCAGACATGCACAGCATTATACTGGAAACAGATTGTGGGAACCAGTAAAAATATGTTTATATTTCTTTGAATATTTCTGTTTTCTTAATTTGCACAGTGCAATGCGACTGTGTGCAAGAGAGAGTGAGTGAGCATTTGCATGCTAAATCATGATCCACAGATTCCCTTTCCACTTCAAATTGACTGTGTCAATAAGTGTGTCCTGTGGTAATTTTCCTGAATGGCAGACTCTGAATATACAAAGTAAAAGTATTTGCCAATTAAGGCAAATAAGATTCTATTTTATCAAATACCACTTACATAACCAAACAGTTTTGTTCTTACAGTAATTAGAGTTGTTAGGAAGCTGTAATAAATCTGCATGTTCTTTGCTTATATTACATAGTTTTATCTGTTTGGAGGAGCAGGGATCTCTGCAATATGCTATATCTTTCTTCTGTGACATTAGGTGTTGTCCATGATGCCCTCCTCTTGCCAACTCCATCACCTGAAGATGTGATGGGAAGGCAGTTGTAAAAATTATTGAAGCAATATTGTTGCTAGTTAACTTTTGGACCATAACTCCCAGAATCCTCTGTGCCATTCTATGTGTTTGAGGGGGCGGGGGAGTGTGTGTCTGGGAACCATCAAACAAAAAGTAACTTTTTCAGACTCTGTAGTCGTGTAATGAATCTCCCAGCATTCTATCTTTCTTTAAAAAATAGACCAGCATTTCTACTAATGCAGAAACATAGCTAAATAAAATAGTCTTGCTTCAGAATACCTGCTTTTGCCATTTCCAATAGCCTTTCCACATTAGAATGGAGGGTACAATTGTGAAGAAGCGTTTTTTGTATGTCAGGAGTGACTTGAGAAATTGCAAGTTGCTTCTGGTGTGAGAGAATTGGCCGTCTGGAAGGATGTTGCCCAAGGCACTCCCGGATTTTTTAAAATGTTTTACCATCCTTTTAGGAGGCTTCTCTCATGTCCCTTCATGGGGAACTGGAGCTGACAGAGGGAGCTCAGCCAGCTTTCCCCAGATTCGAACCACTGACCTATTGGTCAGCAGTCCTGCCAGCACTAGGGTTTAACCCAGTGGTTCTCAGCCTGTGGGTCCCCAGGTGTTTTGGCCTACAACTCCCAGAAATCCCAAACAGTTTACCAGTTGTTAGGATTTCTGTGAGTTGAAAGCCAAAACCTCTGGGAACCCACAGGTTGAGAAGCACTGGTTTAACTCATTGCGCCACCGGGGGCTCCTGTGAAGAAGCTAATTTTTACCCTTGTGACCTCATCCCCTTTGTATCATGCTAGCATGCCCAGGTGTAGTGAAAATGTTGCGTTATGGTAAAAAAATTATGGTAGATGAAAAGAGAGTAATGTTGTTTTTACATGCCATTTGGGGCAGTTTGGCATGGTTTTAAGGTGGGAAATCCAAAAGTTTTGGGAACATTTATTTTAGTGGCAGGGCTTTGAGGAAGTGCCTGGGGGACCTCAAGGTCTGTAAAAGTGGAGATGACTATGATATTTCTTTATATACTATTTTTTTCTCTGAAGGAGACTAAAAGCATTGAAGAGTAGTAAAAACAATACAGAGTTTGGCTATTGCCGATTCCCTGCATTAGAAAGGGGTGACTTTCTTCCACATGACCTCTTCCATTGAAGGGTGGAGGTCATTTCCTTCATTTTGGAGGAATCAGTAGTCCTTCCTGATGCATTTGTTGGATATTAAAAGATGTGAGAATCAAGGGAGGGCTCACATTTGGGATCTCACTGCCCTGATAGGCTCTGGTATCTTTGCTCCCACAGGCACAGAGGAACAGATGGTGCCCAAGACCTCTACAGACCCCACAGGTGCCGAGAACGCAGCCACACCCCTGGGGGAGGGGGTGCTCAGCTCCGACCTTGACAAAATCCCCACTGAAGGTCAGGCGGGCCCTTTGAATAGACCCTACCACCCTTTTCATCTCCCTGAAAGTATCTTCCCTTGGGGAGAGCAAGGGAGATGGGAACCAGGACCCTCCTGGTTTCCCCCTCCCTCAGCTCCAGACTCAGGGGCAGATGCTGGCAAGCATGGGTCCTGCTGTATCCATTGCCTTTTTGCTTTCTCGTTCCTTGCTTCCCACTTTTGTGAATCTGCCTGCCCCCTTATTGGAGAACAGCAGGGGATTCCCTTCATTGCTGAGGTTTTCCTCAGTGAACTTAAGCACTTGAGGTTCCACTGTGGCTTTCCTCCTTACCAACAGAGCTGCCCAAAATGGAGAGCAAGGATGTTCAGCAACTCTTCAAAGATGTCTTGGGGTCCACAGAACGAGAGCAGCAGCTCAATAGTGTTGGGTCAGACGCTGAGGCTGGGGGTATTCGTGACCCAAACCGTGCACATCTTACCCAAAGACCATTCCTGCCAGGTGAGCCATTAGTAGTGAGATAGTAAAGGAATTCCCTTCCCACCGCCTCTCTTTTCCCATCAGATGCTTTGACATCTGAGCCTTTGGTGAACAACAGGAAGAGGCTCCCAGAGTAGTTTGTCGCCATAGGTGATCCCTTATGTCTTCCAAAAGTAGAGTCTTGGCAGTGGGTCCATAAGTGACTGTGGAGATCTATTCTGGATCCACATGGTTTTTCACAATGAGGACATCAATTTCCATATGGAAGGCAGTCCCAACAAGGGTTGGCTTGATGCGTCTTCCTCTTGGCATGTTTCTCCCTTTCTCCCTCCATTCATGCCTCTTCACATTCCACAGCATGTTGTTAACAGCTGACCTCCAGTTAAAACGCTCAAGGGCTAGGGCTTCCCAGTTTTCTGTGTTTATGTCACAGTTTTTAAGGTTAGCTTTTAAACCCATCTTTAAATTTCTTTTGCTGTATACCAACATTGCATTTTCCATTCTTGAGCTGAGAGTAAAGTAACTGTTTGGAAGAAAGTGATTCGACATTTGGACAACACGTCTAGTCCAGTGAAGTTAATGGCGGAGAAGCATCACTTCAGTGCTGGTGGTCTTTGCTTCTTCCAGAATGCTGGCATTTGCCTGCCTGACTTCCCAGGAGATTTGCAGGATTTTTTGAAGGCAACACAGATGGAATCTTTCCAAAAGTTGAGAGTCATGTTTGCAGATGATCCATGTTTCACAGGTGTACAATAGAGTTGGAAGAACAATAGCTTTATAAACAAATACCTTGTTATCCCTACAAATGTCTCAATCCTCAAACAGTCTCTGCTTTGTTTGAAAAAAATGCCTCACTTGCAGAGCCCAGACAGTGTTATATTTCAGTGTTGGATGTTGATTTTTGTGGAGGTGGATGCCTACATAGTGGAAATGGTCAGTGAGAGGTTGAGCTTTTCATATGTTTCTGCAAAGGTGTTTAAAGTACCTTACAGGTCTTCTTCTGTAAGAGCACAGAGTACATTATTGTCAGCAAATTGGAGTTCTATATTAGAAGTTGTTGTGAGTTTACTTTTGGCTTTCAGTCTTCTAAAGAGCTTGCCATCTGTCTGATAGGTGATTTCCACAGTGTTGGGAAGCTTCCCATCAACAAAGTGTAGAATCAAAACTATGAAGGAAAATAAGGTTGGGGCAATTATGCATCTCTGTTTGATACCTGATCCCACCTTAGTTGGGACACTCTGGGAGCCATTGCTGTCCAAGACTGTTGCCATCGTGGAGGAGCCACAGGATGTTCACAAATTTATCAGGGCATCCAAATTTCAAGAGGATGGTCCAGAGAGCATTAGGATTCACGGTGTTGAAGTCCTCTGCAAGATCAATGAATGCCATGTACAAAGATTGGTTTTGTTCCCTGCATTTTTCTTGGAACTATCATGAAGTAAAAATCATATCCACAGTTCTTCTGGAGAGACAGAAGCTCTTCTGAGATTTGGGGAGGCTGTTTTCTGAAATAGGTGGTTTGTAAGTATACTTGTGAGGATTTTTCTGGTGGAAATTAAAAGGAAGGTACCTTGATAGTTTCCACAATCTCTTTTTTCTCCCTTTTTGAAAAGGGCAGTGATAATGGCATCCGTGAGTCTGCTGGGATCTTCTTGATCACCCACACTTTTTCAGTAAGGTTGTGGAGTTGTGTCAACTTAAGCCTTCTTTCTTTAAAGATTTCAGCAGAAGTCAGCTGGTGCTTTTTTATTTGTTCATGTCTTCACTGACTTCCTCCAATCTAGGCAGTACTGGTTTGTTGCAGGATTTGCAATAAGACTTCTTTGGCTATGTTGGAACCTATGTTGGAGGTTATGGTAATTCTCTTTCCAAACTAGTGTAATGGATTTTTTGCCCTTTAGAAGTTTGGTTCCATCTCCTGAACTTAGAGGGTATATGCCATGATTTGTTGGGTCTTAAATTACCTTTATGGCTTTAAAGAATTGCTGTGCGTCGTGGACACCTCTGAAGTGTTGGATGTTTTTACCCTTTTTTGTCCACCATATGTTTTTGAGTTCTCAGGTCCTTCTTTGGATCTCAGCATTTGTACTAACGTAGATCCTTTTCTTAACGGCATGGTTGCTATCTCTTTGCCATATTTGGAAGGCTTTCCTTTTCTTATGGATTATATGTTGCATCTCATGATCATTCTCAACAAATGTTTCTTAGTTTGGTGTATTCACAAGATGTAAGGATAGAGGTCTTCAGTTCATTCCAATGTTCCTCATCATTTTCAGGATGTTCTATGGGTATATGATCCTAAAGTGTTGTTTAGAGAAGGGCATGTTACGACAACTCTTGAAGGGCTTGGGTGTCCATTTTCCACCTTATCTTTTTTTCCTTGGAGTCTAAGTTGGAAGCACTCTTGATGGCCCTCATGGATCAAATTAATCGGTGGTCTGTCCAGCAGTCATCTGCGCTTCTCTTGTGAGAAGTACATTACAGTGGTCTCTAACATGTATAATTGTATAGTCTAAGACAGTGGTTTTCAACCTGGGGTCCCCAGATGTTTTTGGCCTTCAACTCCCAGAAATCCTAACACCTGGTAAACTGGCTGAGATTTCTGGGAGTTGTAGGCCAAAAACATCTGGGGACCCCTGATTGAGAACCATTGGTCTAAGAGGTGCCAATGCTTTGATCAGGGGTGCTTCCATGATATCATAAGCTTATTTTTCTGGCTGAAGAGTGTGTTGGTGATAACAAGGTAGTGTTCTGCACATTTGGTCAGGAGTAGGATGCCATTCGGATTACTGTTTCCAACTCCTTCTTTCCCTATGGTCCCTGGCCACAGGTCAAAATCTCACCCAACTCTTGCATTAAAATCACCCAGGATGACAATTTTGATCTCCTTGGGTATCTCAGAAAGGATGGTATCCAGCTACCAGAATTTTTTTTCCTTGACATCTTCATCAGCATCTAGTGTTCGTTCATAAGCACTTACCATAAGTTGCCTGCTGGTTTTTGGTGAAATTAATTTGGAGGGATGAGAGACATTTGCTAATGCCAATGAGTGCTTCAGACAGATGTGTCACCAAGTTGTTTTTGATAGCAAAGCCGACTCGTGTATTCATCGTTCTTGTTCAGGTAGTTCCATGCAAAAGAAAATGTTGCGTTCTTTTTCCTCCTTCAGCTGTCCTTCTTTTCGGGTCTCTTGGAGTGTGGCTATATCTATGTTAAAACGTCTCAGTTCCCTTGCAATTATAGCAATCCTACGTTCAGGACATTCATTGTGTTATCTAATAGTGTCTGTATGTTCCACACTCCAAAATTCATTTGGTTTTTGTTTTGTTTTGTTTTACCGCAAGGTGGTGACTTCTCTGGGTGTGTCATTCCAGTCAGGAATACATAAGAGAGGCAAACTATGTTCAGGGCACCTTTTCCAGCCCCCGTCCTGTATGAGGTGACCAGAGTGGATCTTAAATAAGTCTGTTCAGATGTGGATACAGCTGCCAAACTGCCACAGACCTAGAGTTAGAACGACCAAATCCATATCCAGTGCCCATGTGCTTAGGGCTTCCAGATTTCACAGTTCTGCCCCCCGTCAGCAATCACCATGGGATTTTTGTTGGTTTTGGTTTGCTTGAGAGACGACTGTGTATGAATTTGTTTTATGTGTGGAGATTGGTGCACAGCAATCAACACACAGTCTTCACAGAAAGAGATTCTAATCCAGTGGGATGGTTACAATGACATTGGTGGCCTGTTGTTGCAGTCTTCATCTGCCTTCACAGCTATTGTAATATGCAACATGTTGTCATCCACTTGGTTTATGATAGAGGTCTTTGAATCTTTCTTTTTCTGGTTCCTCCCCTATGACCTTGCCACCATGGGTGGGCCTGCTGAGGCTATATAACTCCGGCAGCTTTCCTCATAGGTTCATTGGAACACACAGTGCCACTTACCACAAGGTGATGATCTGATGAGGAGAGAGCACTTTGTATACCACGAACAAATCAATATAGTCCCTACATGCAAAAATATAGTCCCTACATGCAAAAATATAGTCCCTACCTACATGTAGTTTCTAAAAATCAATGGTGGGAAGGAAAAAAGAAAAAATGAACGTTGGCAGCAGTTTTTAAAGGATTATTGCCATATGCAACTGGAAACAATAGTGATCTTGCAGCAATTCCCCGAACTTTACTGCACTAAGTTTAAGGAGAAATGTTGCTTGATAACCAAAATAATGTTGCAGGGCTTTGGACCAAGATTGCCATGTACATGGAAGATGTCTAGTCATATAAAATGGTATGACACTTTGGCAGAAAGAGATATGGCTACCGGACTTGATATTCCCAACACCCCATTAGTGCATCCACTGTGCATATAATGGACTGATATAGATACAGTTGTCTCCCTTGCTTGGTTTTGGTAGTTCTTAACTGTGAAAGGACCATTCACAGATGCATCCCCATGTTGTCAGAGGAAAATTTGGAAGTAATTTTGAATTCTTAAACTTTTGGGTAGAGAGGAACTTTTAGACTATTCCTGTGACACAATACCTTTATGTGAATATGTTAAGAATGAAAGCAGTTGATAGGATGTTGGGTTCAAATGTAGGAGTTCTGAGTTCATGTTTCCAACTGTGGAGCCTGCTGCGCAAGCAACTGTCCCTTTGCTCTTTCTGGTGTGGTTGTGATCTTACATGGAGATTCTCCGCAGCGTTCTGTAAATTAAGGCAATCTTTTCAGAAATAATGATAGACAAAGGAGGCTTTTAAAGGTGGGTTTAGTCATTGCACCTTAGTTACGTGTAGATATTCACTTCTTCTGCATTAATGCTGGAGGCAGAACTTGTTCTTTACTTTGGATTAGATGTGGACACTCCAGATACTTCAGTGTTTGATTTTATGCGAAGGTGCCAAGTATTCTTTGAGAAGTTAGATGTCTAGGGAATGGACATCACACTCACCTATGTATCCTGTCCTTCTTCTAAGTTGAAAAATCAACTGCAGTATTCTGCTTCTACACCCTGGCTGTCTAGATATGTCTACCATTCTAAATTTTGGTTAGGACTGCTGAGAGAAAGGGGTTTTTTTGTGCTGACTAATAAATAGTAACTTCTCAAATTGTATAGGACAAATAAGAGCCCATCTTCAGGTAATCAGCTAAGGAAACATTGCATGAGTTGGGGGACTTTTTATTGATTTTGGGGGGAAAGGAGAAAGAAGGTATTTGATATGGAAAAATGAGGAATTCACACAAAGTGAATTCCTTTCACCGGGAATGTGGCATAGCTGGCTGGGAGTCAACTGTATTAAGATCACTACTGACCGAAAGGTCATGAATTTGAAGCCGGACCAGGTCGGAGTGAGCGTCCAACCAATTTGTGTAACTTGCTGTCAACCTTTGCAGCCCGAAAGACAGTTGCATATGTCAAGTAGGACATTTATGTACCTCTTATGCAGAGAGGCTAATTTAACTAATTTACGATGCCATAAAATTCTCCAGCAAGCATGCAAAGAATGAGGAAGTACATCATCAGTGTCACAAATGGTCGATGAACGGACAGGTCTCCTGGTGGCCTAATACCCTCAAGAAAAAAAGCTGGAATGTTAAATAGCCTCTGAGTGTCTGTCTATATATGTTGTGTGTCTATGCCACTGAATGTTTGCCATGTATATATACATTGTAATCCACCCTGAGTCCCCTGTGTGGTGAGAAGGGCAGAATATAAATACTCTAAATAAATAAATAATAAAGAACAGTCAGATAAAGTGCTGACATCATCAAATTAAAAACAACAACTATGGAGCCTTACTTCTCAGTCATCTTACTTCATTAGTTCTTCCCCTAGCAGTGCCCAGAACAGTCTTTTTTCTCCTTGATGTGTTTCTTGAATTCTAATGTTCCTTTTACCTTGTTGATTTTTATTGCGTTCCCTGCTCTCCTTCCTTCCTTTTGCATCTTCCTTGCCTTAAAAATAGTGGTTAAGCTTCTGTGCATTTGCAACCCTTCATTAGTTTTTGCCTCTCAAGCTCACAAAGTCCCCATTTAGAATATTAGAATGACATGTAGGTGTGTGTGTAGGGAAGAAAAGCCTTTTGATTTCAAGCTCTGTGACACTGTTTTTTTATAGGTGGTGGTGTCTCCCTTGGGCCTCTACAACCAGCTGTGCCCATAGAGACCTACTCGGGAGTTTGCCAGTCCCCATTTCTTGACAGCAGGTAAGTCAGTTGTACTGGCATCCTCTCCCACTCATCTGGTGCCTAAGGCAAAGGAGAATATGGTGTCTTGTCCCATTCCATGGGGAAAAAACAATGGACTGGTGGCTGAAGTTTACTTGAAAACTGTTCATGGGACAGTGTGCACACAATGACAGCAGGCTAGTTTAATGGGTGTAGGGGAGGTCATTAGCACACCTCTTCCCTCTTAGTACTCACTATTGTCACTCGAGGGAGCTGTCTCACTGTTCTAAGTTGGTGGTTTAAATACTAAAATGTGTTCAACAACTACAGACTTCTACATAACTCCTTCCTTTTCCTCCATTGCCCCCACATAGGGAGCGGAGTGGATTCTTCAGCCCTGACCAGTGTGAGCCAGAGAGCCCTTGGGCCAGCAGCTCTGCTGCTTCCACACCCACTACCCCCACCACGGAGGGGGAAAGTGATGGGCTGTCCTATAACCAGCGGAGCCTGCAACGCTGGGAGAAGGATGAGGAACTGGGAGAAATGTCCACCATTTCACCTGTACTCTATGCTAACATGAACTTTCCCAATCTCAAGCAGGATTACCCAGGTGAGTGGTTTGTTTCCTTGTCCACACTCTCCATTCCCACAGCCATTCCTCCTTAGGCCAGAAAGAAGAAGAGGTTGCCTTCCTGTCACTAGTAATTCTTTGAATGGTCACCTGTGAACCCTCCCAAATTGAAGTTTGTTCGCTACATGCTTGGTATGGTGGGAAGCAGGTATTCCCCAGTGCTGTTGACCTGCTTTGCCCTAGTAAGTTGTAGTGCCAACAGATATGGAGGGCACAAGGTCAGAGAAGGCTGATGGTAGTGTTCTTAGTGCCATGAGATAGAAGGGTTCAGTTTTCCTTGTTCCATCTCAGGGAGTAGATGATGAGGCTGTCAAACATGCTGAGGGAATGAATATTTATTTATTTACTACATTTATATGCTGCCCTTCTCACCCCAAAGGAGACTCAGAGTGGCTTACAAGTTATAATTGTTTCTGATTTGTACGCTATTTTATTTGGACTTCATTCTGGGCTTCATCTTATACAATAAAGACACAAGGAGTCATTCAATAGGTGTTTCTATGGCCAGGAGCCAGGCTGTTGAAGTACTCTTGCGGCGAGGCTGTGGAGCCATGGAAGTGCCCTGTTCAGGAGTTGTAAGACAGCAGGGTTGAAAAGATGTTACAATGGCTGGCAGCGGGCATCCAGGCCATTGAAGTACTCTCACCATGAGGCTGTGGGGCCATGGAGGCACCCTGCCCAGTAGTTGTAAGGCAGTAGGGCTGAAGCGGTGTTGCTATGTCCCCGCACAGGTGTTGCTATGGCCAGCAGCAGGCAGCTAGGCTGTTGAAGTACTCTCACCACAAGGCTGTGGGGCCATGGAGGCGCCCTGCCCAGGAGTTGTAAGGCAGCAGGGCCGTATAATGCTGCCCAACACACATTTTGGGGCCTCAAATGTTAGCCCTGTTTCTGGGTATATTTGACCAACTGATTCAATAAGTGGCACCAGTTTCCCCCTATCAGCTCTAGTTTTTGACATACAGAATATATGCTATCTCCTAGTCACCATCTGCTCACCCATAGAAAATCTTGACAATCATCTAAGAAACTGGAATGGATGCAGTCTATCTAGTGTAATTTTATGATTTGATGTCCCAGATAACCCAGGAACAGGCCAAAAAACCAAGACACCAAAGAATTTTTGGTGTAGTGTAGAAGGTGGTGAAACTTTTGATGTGTGCATATCCAGAGTTGCACACATCAAAAGTTTCACCTCCTTCCACACACACACACGTTTGTATTTATGTTCGCCATCTCCATTACCACACACATTATTCCATGCACACCACCAGCACACAACTGTTGGTAAAATTTAAAGATGGGTTCCTACTTCTGCCCCACAACCATCCTTTGGGGCATGGCAGGCCATGAGAAGATAGGTCTTACGTTCATCAGGGATTTGATTGCGGGCCTCCCCTTTCCAAAGCCCAAGGAAACTGATTCCACATTTGTTGAATTAGGTGAAATTGTGTTGCCGTGTATCTAATTGCATTCATGTCTTCTCACAGACTGGTCTAGCCGTTGCAAGCAGATCATGAAGCTTTGGAGAAAGGTGCCAGCTCCAGACAAAGCCCCTTACTTGGTAGGTAATATGAATAAATGTGATTTTTAAGTATAATCGTTTTTGTGACAAACTTTGAAAGGTTGTTTTCCTCCTAATTGCCTGAAGTATCATCTGAGTTCTTGTGTGTGTATGTATGCATTTGTGCACTTTGTCTTTGTATCTATACTTGGTTTGATCATTGTCATATTACAGGCAGAAAATGCAGCAAAATATTGCAGTGTGGAATGTAGTAACTTCATTAACTCCTTAAATATCTAGCAGCTTCTCACAGGCCCTGAATACACTCAATAGGTTCCTTTGGGATTTTCTGCTTCCTCTCTCTCTCTGACAACTTTTGTTTGTACTTTGGCAAGCCTTGAAGTTTCCTATTACCTGCACATACCTCCCTCATCATGATACAAAATGCAATTTTTGCTACATAAGGAATCACAATTGGTGAATGAATTCACTGTTGATATAGGGAAAGCAACTGGCAGAGCCTGGGGACCCCAGTGGCCCCCAGGGCATGGGAGAAAACTTCCAGTTTTAGAAATTGTCCCTACTGGACTTAAAACAACCAGGTTGGGGGGGGGGGGACATTTTTAGCAAATCGAAGTGCTCAAAATTGTGTTAAGATATTTTTAGAGTTTCTGCTAAGCTTTGGGGGGCTCATAGGTGACATTTTGTCCCATCCTACTATAGAAGATTTTTTTTAACATCCTGATAGTAAATGACTGATTCAGTGATATGGGAAAGTTTGGGTTTGATTTTGTTCGGGGCAACTCTTTTATTTTCTGAACTTTCATGGTCCTCTTCTGCTTTAATGTTTTCTGTGCAGCAAAAGGCCAAAGATAACCGTGCAGCCCACCGCATCAACAAGGTGCAGAAGGTAAGCAAGGCAGTGGAGAAGCAAGTAGTGGACAACACAGGCTGAAAACAGTGCAAGAAAACTTAGCTGGAAAGCTAGGCAATAGTGACACTGCTCCTAGGGGGGGAAAACCAAAGTTATTTTTTCCGTACCTTGTAGGCTAAAACACTTATGTTACATTTGCTCATTTAATTAAAGTTACTTTGGTTCAGCTTATTCTATGTATTGTTCCCTGACCACTGGTAATGCTGTTGTGTTGCTCTTTGTTCATTGTGCATTTCCTCAGCTCCAAAGGTTTTCTCTTATGTGTTATCAGGTTAGCTTTTGCGGCATTTGTCCTAAATCCAGTTACTAGTCCCAGCTAGTTAGACTCATTGGAACTCACCTGAATTAACTGGTCAAATTTACCTGATTTGGATTAGTACTGGCAATTATATGTAGGTCTTAATGAAACTTCTTAGTAACAAACAAAAAGGCAAATCTGTTTTGTAGTATTTAAAATGTTGTAGTTAAAATAGTAATGAAATATTTGTGGAATAAAACCTCAGCCAGATTGCTGGGCTGACCTGGGTGAGCCCATTTCACTGATGTTAAAAGAATTTTCATAACTTCTAGTTCAGCCATGGGCAGACTTTCTAACTTGGGGGCTGTGTGACAGGCTGCGTGTGGTGGGCAGGCTGAGAGGAAGGAAGGGGCTTCTCCTCAAGCCCCCTCCCTGCCCTTTCCTCCCCTTCCTCTTCTCTTCAGGAGGCAGAAAGTGAAGGAAAGAATTTTTGGATCCCAGATGGGTTGGCCTTGGTCAGGATGAGATGGTGGACGGGGGAGAAAAAGTATTGCCTTTTCCTGATATAGAATCCTATATCTTAGAGTTGGAAGAGACCCCCAAGGGCCACCCAGTCCAACCCCCTGCCATGTAATAAGGCACAAACAAAGCCTTCCCAATAAACAGCCTCTGTGGAAAAGCCTCCAGAGAAGGAGACTGCACCACACTCCCAGGCAGCCTATGCTACTCTCCAACATTTCTTACTCTCAGGAAGTTCTCTCAGTCGAATCTTTGTCCCTATCCTCCCCCTCCTCTGTAAAGAGAGTAATTCATTTTGAACGGCCTACAGGATACATACTTCCATATGAGTATCAATCCTTTCATTAGGCTCATTTTCCAGTTCTGTGGGCTAGACAATTACCAATATCATATCCTCCTCTTCAGACTAGATATGGCTCTCGGCTTTATGAAACATCTCACTGTAATATCAATTTGGCTAAAGGTTGAAAGAGTTTTCGTGGGATCATATTTAGAATACTGGCTTCCATAAGGCCCTATGAATTGTCCACCTCACAGTGCCCTTCTTTTGCAATCTGGGCTTCATGAAAAATAATGGGAAAGTCATCTTTACATCCCTTTCATCACATCTATTTCATGGAGCCTGGAGCACTGTCTAGTCTATCTAAGCTTGAGCTCCCTCAAATACATGTTTCTTTTCTTATGAGAGTGACTCCATTGTATACCTTTCCTCTCGTCATGGGGCTCATCATGAAGACCAAGGAGGACAATGATTTGCCAGTTATGATTCTGGATACTTCTAAAGCTGTCTGATGGCAGTTCCCATTGGTTTTTTGTGAACTCTGAACTCTTTTTTGTAACATGCAAAGATATCTATAACAACAATTACAAAAACTGTAGATTGCCAATCACAATTTCTATATTCTAAGAATTTCTACATTAAATGTAACATGAGAACATTCACATGATTAATTAAAGACTGTTTATAATTGGAAGATAATTTTTCAATACTTTGTTAACATAGTAAAACTAGAGCTTCCAAAATCACAATTAAATAATGTCAGGCACAGTGACACAAAATAACACTTCCTATATTATCGAAAGATCTTTCATAAACAACATCAGAAACAGTGACACATGGTTTATCAATATTTCCAACAAATCAGTATACATAAAACATAATATAGATAAAAAACACTAAACAGTATAAGACATCACAAAAGCAATAAAAACATCATCAGCGTCTCATTATTCTCAAGCATTGCCCATTGATTGCAACCGCTTGCAATCAATGAAGCACTCCTATGCATCTAAGAAAACTCCTTTCTGTGTTTTCTGCAAATTGAGAATCTTACATAAGACAATTCACTCAAATGTGTGCTTCATTTTCTTGTGCCTCTGCAACCTAAAGATATCTCATACTTTCACCTGTTGGCTATCTTCATTCACTCTAAGCTGCCAGATGCCCCCTAATCAGCACATACAAATAAAAAAGAGAAGCGAATGGAGGGCTGCTACCTATATGTAGACTGTGCTTGGTCTTCACTCAGTTTCAGGCATGCTCCTTGTAGCCCATGGCATTTTGTGATACTAATCTGTTCTCTTAGAAGACATAATCTCTTTTTGTAGAGCCAGTGAAAAGATAGTTCTCAGGTTGGATTCACCTCACCCATCCTTTCAAAATGACAAGGTGGATTTCCTATCCTGAAACTGTACTGTGTGGCATTTGATAGTGTGATTCTGTCTTTGGTCCTGACATGATCCATTATCCTTAGTGAGTTTAGCGTGCTACTCTCTCACATGTTTGTGTCACAGAAACCAGAAGGAAGAAGAGGTTGCCTACCTGTAACTAATTCTTTGAGTGGACATTTGTGAACTCACACAGCCCAACCAATTTCCCCTCTTCATGCTATTACTTTCCTCAGATCTCCCAGTGGGAGACTTGGAAATGGATTTTGGTGGGAATGCGTGACTTATATGTGTGCGAGAGAGAGGGAGGCGTTATTGCTAAAGCACAGTTCTAGAAACTTCTGAATATCTCCTCACAGGCACGGAAGGACTGACCCACATGTATCAGTTCACAGATGACCACTCGAAGAATTGCAGTAACATGTATGCAACGTGTTCTGTTATCAGTGTTTGTGAGTGTGCATGAATGTATACATTCAAATATTAACATTGTATTTGATACCATGCTTCTTGTTCTGTTTTTCACAGCAAGCCGAGAGCCAGATCAACAAGCAAACCAAAGTTGAGGTGCTGCGGAGGCCAGACCGCCCTGCCCTGCACCTGCGGATTCCACCCCAGCAGGGAACACTGCCTGGTACCACCCAGCCGCCTCCGCCTCCTATCCCTGCTGCCACAGCACCAGGACAGCCCATTTATGTCAACAATGCTGCATCTCTGCCAAGTGGCTCAGGTGTAGAGTCTCCCAGTGAGCTCTTCCTCAAGCTTCCTTCTTCTGCCACCAGTGCCCAGCCCCCAGCGCAAGTGCCTTTGCACGAGCCCTACAGTGTGGCCTCTGCCTGCCCCCCACCAGATCCAGGTTTCCCCTCTCCTTCCTTGGTGGGCCAGAGTCCAACAGTGCCAGCCAGCTTTTCCTCTGCCTCTTCTTCTTCCTCCTCCTCCTCCTCATCTGGACAATCCCCACTCCTGTTGAATCCTCGTGCAGCCCCGCAGCTTGGAGACTTTCAGGCTACCCCTCCAGGGACTCCAAGGCATCAGCCTTCCACGCCTGACCCCTTCCTCAAGCCCCGCTGTCCCAGTGGATCCTTTGAAAACTTGTCTGTGCCTGGAAGCCCACAACGGGCGGGGCTCCTGCTTTCACCCCCACCATTTGGGGAGCAGAAGAAAGTACTGGACATCAAAAAGGAAGATTCTGGACATGGGATGTGCTCTCCCAGCTATGGCTGCAGCTATAGTGACTCCCCCTCCGGTGCTTCCCACTCCACTGAAATGAAGGCCCCCAATGTCTTCAAAGCCCCACTCATCCCACGGCCATCTCAGGTGGAACCCCAGAGCCCAGGATTGGGGCATCGGCCCCCAGATCCTCACCCTGTTGCTGCATCTCCCCCCAGTCAAGCTGATCTCTATAGTCGGTCACCTTATTCAGACCCCTATGCTCAGCCTCCCCTAACACCTAGGCCTCCGGCCCTAGTCTCAGAAAGCTGTTGTCCTCTGCCCCCTCGCTCCTTGCCTTCGGACCCCTTTTCACGGATCCCTGTCAGCCCTCAATCCCAGTCCAGCTCTCAGTCACCTCTCACTCCCCGGCCACTCTCCAATGAAGCCTTCTGCCAATCCCCTGTCACTCCTCGCTTTCAGTCTCCTGACCCTTACTCCCGTCCTCCTTCGCGGCCACAGTCCCGTGACCCCTTTGCCCCTCTGCATAAACCCCCTCGGCCTCAGATGTCAGACACAGGCTTCAAGCAAATGCCTATCTCTCACAATACTCTTGCTGTGGGGAATTTTCCCACAGGGCCCTCTTCTGCTGAGCCCCATCCCAAAGCTGGCCAGCAGCCTCAGTTTGCCCGCTCCCCTGGTGCCAGTGTCTTCCCAAATGCTCAGCCCCAGATTCGCTTCACCTTCCCTCCCAGTGAGCCAATCAAAAGCTCTCCATCCCATGGAGTAAACAACCATTTTGCCTCTGGCAAGCCCCAAAGCACAAGCTATGTCTCCTCACCGGGATTCCACCAAGTTGGGAGTCCCTTAGGTCCCAGCAAGGGAACCCAGGACTCCTACAACATTTCCCCACTCCGTCCTCCATCGGTTCTTCCCCAGCCGCCACCTCCAGCACCTCCTCAACAAGATAGCAACTTGTCCTACCTGCCACGAACAGGCATGATGCCACCGGGTGACAAGAGGGAAGAGGGAGGAGTAGGACCCCCAAATAGAGAGCTGCAAGAACTGCCAGCCAACCAGGAGGGACCTATCAGCAGTAACACCACCCAAACAGAGATGGAGAAACAGCGGCAGGTAGGCAGTTTACTGTCATGTTTATTGTAAAAAGAGGTTGGGTCCTTATTAATATTTAAGTGGTGATACTCACAGGCCTCCATAATAATCTTTTGTTATTTTATGTATGTTATTTGATGTTATTATTTGCTTCTTTTTATTTTATTTTCTTGTACTGTAATTTTGGGCCTGGCCTCATGTTAACCACCTCGAGTTCCCTTTGGGGAGATGGTGGCAGGGTACAAATAATAATAATAATAATAATAATAATAATAATAATAATAATAATAATAATAATAATAATTATTATTATTATTATTATTATTATTATTATTACAGCTGAGGAGAGGGCAGTAGCTGTGAGCTAGTAGCAGTAATAGGTACTATTAGAAATGCCCAAACAAAGGGGGAGGTGGTGGAGAATGAACTTCCACTTGTTTACTTATGTGTAAATCCACCCCCACCTTCCACCCCCAGTCTGAACAGCCCAGAAGGGAAAGTGCAACCTAGGAATTGTGGCATGATGCCACAGGAGTAGCATGATGTGTCTCGCATGGGTTGAAGGATTCTTGAGGTTGCAGCAGTAGCAGTTGCTTTGTTATTACCTCCTCTGCATACCCCTGTATTTCCCTAGTGATGCCACTGGCCAGAAGTAATGCCATAGTGGAAAGTATGTACTTACAGTGTGACATAAATGAGTTAGCCAAGGTCTGTTATATTGTCATACACTAGTATATACGGTAATTGTACAGAGTGTGTCAACATTTTTTTACAGCAGCCTTAACAGGTAGGCTACTTTTAATCATACTGCAGACTGCAGGGAGTGGAGCTGAAAGAAGTTTTTCTAGTACTAGCTAGCTAGTCCTGTGTTTTTCTTCAGGTCACCAGCAAAGGGATAGGCTGGTTTATACATTGATTCACATTGTTTGCTGTAAGATTTACTTTAGTCTTCTGTTCTTTTTTTCTTCTGTTTCTACTTCTGGGTTCTTTTTGTGTGTGTGCCTGCTCATGTTGTGCAGGAAGAAACATGGAAAGGAAAAGTGGTTTCTAAGAACAACAAAAGACTTTATTCACACATGAAAGCTGAAGTGTCCTTCAAGGACATCAGAATTCAGAGCTTCATCTCACTGTGTGCCTTTTCTTTTTCATTATCTCACCGGCTAGCGCCAGAGACTCCGTGAATTGCTCATCCGCCAACAGATCCAAAGGAACAACTTGAGACAAGAGAAAGAAAGTGCAGCAGCAGCAGCTACCAGTGCCCAGGCATCATGGAACCCTGAGACCAGCGGACAAGGCTTTGAGCAAATGAATCGCAGCATGACCCCATATCCATCAGCTCAGGTATGGGCATGGACAGTGTCCAACTGTGTTTCCTCTGTGACCTTGGAACTAGCATTTTACAGAGAGACACTAATTAAGCATATCCTGAGGAAACTGAATGCTTCGTTGTTGTGTACGTACACATTGTATCGACTTATGGTGCCCCTTACCTGAATCTGTCACAGGGTTTTCTTGACTAGATTTGTTTTGAGCGGGTTGTGTGTCTTTGCTTTCATCTGAGACTGAGAAAGTATACCTTTTAAATGCCATGAGTTTTTCAAAGATCTGGCACAGCACACAGCTGTGTTAATACAAATCAAGGTTTGAAGTCCAATTAACACCAATAGTATTATTAAAACAGTTTCAGGAGCAAGAACAAACAGTAGCCAGGTTTGCAATCCAAAGATGAGATGCCAAGAGTTGACTTAGAATAACTTTGCAGAGTGCCTGGTCTAAGGCAGATAGTCAAGGATCAAAGTAAAGACCACTTCCATAAGTCACAGCCAGGCAGGTAGTCCAAGATTCATATTCCCAAGGTCCAAGATGAGGTCATAGAGTTCAAAATAGAATTGCAGTAACAAAGTTAGGGTCCACAGATCTTACCTGGGGTAACAGCCAGAATCCAAGTCACGAATATGAAGGTATGGTGTCATCTTTTATCAAAGAGCTACCTCTTCCTTATTTATCCACTGAACTCAGCTGCTGCTCATTTCATCAACTCTGTACGAATCATGACAGAAGCCTGTGATGCATTCTTCAAGAAGGGAAGGTCAGCTTGACCCCTTCCAGGCACCCAGCAGCAGCCGAGCCAAGCCAGGCAAACTACTGGCCTTGACAACTGCACTGTCTTCCTTCCCACAGGACAAAGGAATGCTTGGTACCCCAGGTGGCAACAAACTACCTGGTGCAGTTATGGTGCAGTCTCCCTACGTTCAGGATGAGCGACTTGCTCGACCCCCTCCTGCAGCTACTCCTTCTACCATGGATATTAATGGCAGGTGAGTTTCCTTTACCTAACACTTTCATAATTTAGCTTATTTCTAAGCAGCTGGGAGATTCAAAAATTATAAACTTTGATGCTACATGAGATACTTGGGGTTTGTGCTTCATTATGGAGCTATATTGCGCTTGATGGTCCATGGATATAGAAGAGTGTTTGAAGTGTGTGCGGCAGGAGCAGAATGTTGGGTGAATTTTCATATAGTGTATGATTGGTAGAGAATGTGTGAATGGGAGGTGCTGTGAACATGAGGTGAGGAGAGCAAAGAGGAAGATCAAATAGGATTAGGATTGGGGTGTAGGCCAAAGAGATAGACTATGTGAGGCTGGACTGTGTGTAATGTATTAAGACTGCTTGGTTTATAATTATGAAAATAAAGTAAAAGATCCATAAACATACATTTTTATGTATCAGTCTACACCAGCATCTTTTAGTCATAGGATCAATGCCATCTAGGAGTTAAAAGGACAGCCATTTTCTCAGGAACATGTTCTTCATACAAAGGAATTGAATCCAACAAGCATGTGATTTGTAAGGTGAGGTTTTCAGTGGTTATAGTTGACAATACGATCATTGCAATAAGGTCATTGGATAATTTAAAAAATTATACTGGGAAAATGAGTAGCTCCCTTTACCTTGCTTAGAAATGGATCGTACAGTATTACACAAGAGAGTCTCTTCAGTGTGCCTGTGCACAGACACATAAAGAAAGGGCATCATGCTTTGTAGCATACAAACAAAAGGCAGGTCCTTGCCTTAAAGTGCTCCCCATGTACATTCAGACAATTCAGAAGATAACAGTGATTGAGAGAGAGGGAAGCTGAACAGTGAAGAAAATGGTGCAAGTATTTATTTACTTTATTTATTTACTTTGCTTATATACCACTTTTCTCAGCACGAAGGCGACTCACAGTAATCCAGCAACTCCTGGAGCAACATACCATTGACATCTGTGCCTTAGAGTGACCTGCCTTACCTTGCCTAGTTTTTTTTCCTCTTTTAAGCTTTGCTCAGTGCAATGACTGAATAAGCATAGCTTTTTAAAAAAAATCTTCAACATGGTGTGATGAGCTGCTCTTATGAAAAAGAATGTAGTTCTGCTTTCTGAATTGATAATGCAGATCACTCGTTTTCCAGAGATGTGAGTTTCAGAGATCCAGCAACAACAGGAGCCTGAGGATTATACATGTGGAGATATGTTCAAAAAAGGGAGTGCATAGTTTTTGAAGTGTCGACTGTTACCATCTTTGAACAGCCTGGAATGTGGACTTCATATTAACCTGTATAGGTAGTGATGCTGGAGTCTCCATCTTATTTCTGGCATTGACATCCCTCCAACCACTATTTTTCTTTTTCCTCTTAGGACATCAATGGCAGTTGCACAGCCATTTTATCCCCGCAGTGTCTTCCAGACCCAATCTTCACAGCATCAGATGTGGCAGCAGCAGCAGCAGCAACAGCAGCAGCAAATAATTTCCATGCGTCTCCCAGTTCCTTCACGTTTTCCTCAGCCTCCAACACAAGATGTGAACCGACAAGCCTTGGGGAGCTTAGCCTCACGGTTACCAGGCCCTGGTGAATCAATCCAGGCTTCAGCAGGGACAGTCGGAGCCCAGTTCATTGAGCTACGGCACAACAGCCAGAAGGGAGTCCTTGGGAGTGGAGTCGGAGCCGGTCCCACATTTATCCAGCAAAATCCACAGGCTCGTCCCAGATTCTTCTTGCCCGGGAATGATGGCAGCAATCAGGTCTTGAAAACTTCTGTTATGCCCATGCAGGCTCCTTCCCTGGGAAGCCAAGGCATGCCAGTGCAGAAGATTCCTATCTCCCCCTCCCCTCAGGGAACAGGAATGAGCAACAACCATCACCCCCATGTCAAGGCAGTGCCCCAGTTAGGTCTTCCTCCTAGTAACTTAGATGTACAACACATCCCACCCCCACCACTCTCCTCATCTGGCCCGAAAGATGTACCTACTACCACTTCAGCTGCTGTTGACACTACCCCAGCTGCAAGCAAGAACCAGTTAGGTCTGTCCAGTAGGCCATTACCCTGTGAGGTGCCAGTAGAACCAGATCTAGATGATGAGTTTGATTCCCACAAGGATCTTGAGGATGACGATGACTTGGCTAACTTGAGTCTTGATCCAGATGTTGCCAAGGGTGATGATGATCTTGGAAACCTGGATAACCTGGAGACCAATGACCCACACCTTGATGACCTTCTGAATGGTGATGAATTTGACTTGTTGGCCTACACAGATCCAGAGCTGGATACTGGGGACAAGAAGGACATCTTTAATGAGCATCTGCGCTTGGTGGAATCTGCCAACGAGAAGGCTGAACGTGAGGCTTTGCTCAAAAAAGAACCTTCTGCTGGGCCTTATGTGAAAGACACTTCCTCTACTACTGTTGTGAAGCCCGATGAGCAGAAGGTGCCATCTTTGCCCAGAGATGATGAGCTCAAAGCTAAAGAGGGACTTGGCCTCCTCCAAATTCCCTGCTCGTCTTCTGCCGAAGTGTCACCATCTCCCATCACCACTAACATCAAGGCTCATAATGATATGTTGGATAGCAAGGCGGTTATCCTTCCAGCTGATATCAAGCCCAAGATAGAAGAAGGCTGTCTGAAATCCTCCGCATGTCAATTTAACTCTGGCACATCAGAGAAGCTTCCCATCAAGTCTGAAGGATCTGAGAAAATGGCTTCTACCTTAGCTGTCAACATCAAACCTAGCCAGAACATAATGAGCCCAGGTGCTATGCGGCATGGCATGACCCAGTTCCCTAACAATAGCCACACTTCCCTCTCAGATAAGGCTCTCTATGGCAATCCAAGCCGCCCACCGCTCACCCCTGTCCAGATAGGCCACACCAGTAACTCCATTCTAGAAAAATTTGAGCTAGATGGAGGGGGTCTAAGCCTCCCTAATACTCAGCATCACTCTCCAACTGATGACCTGGACAAGATGGAAAGCTCTCTGGTGGCTAGTGAGTTGCCCCTCTTGATTGAAGACCTGCTGGAGCATGAAAAGAAGGAGCTGCAGAAGAAACAACAGATGTCCACTCAAATGCCAGGAGGTACCCAACACCTCCAGCCCCATGCCATGATGACTCACTCCGCTCCCCATTCCCAACCTCATGATGGGCAGCTGGTTAGCCCGCAACAGCAGCAGCAGCAACAGCTTCAATTGGGCCTTGTGGCCAGGCAACAGGGTATGGTGGCCAATCAACAACTCATGCAGCAGCAACAGCAACGTCTGGCTGGTGCCCAGCAAAGCCAAGTACTAGCACCACATATGGGAGTGGCTCAAAATCAAGCTCATATGCTTGCTACTCAGCATAGCATCCAGGCAATCCATAGCCAACAGAACCAGCAGCAGGTTTTAGCCCAGAAGCCCATGTCTGGAGTTCAGCAACAACCGCCGCAGCCACAGACACAGCAGCAGATGATAGGATTAAAATCCCAACAGGTTGTGATGCAACAGCAACAGCTGGCTAACAGTTTCTTCCCTGATACAGGTAGGAGTTCTGAGAGAGCTTTGTCTATAACAGTCTGTTTTTGCCACAGCAGCAAAGACTTTCAACTTTGATGTAAAGCTTTAAACACAGCTCCAAATGTGATGCCTCATTGATATGTAGGGACCAGAGAGAGGAATGGGGGATTCTGGGATATAGGCCAAAAAAGGAAGATTTCTAAGCTCTGTGTTGTCAAAAGCTTTCATGGCCGCAATCACTGGGTGGTTGTGAGTTTTTCAGGCTGTAAGGCCATGTTCCGAAAGCATTCTCTCCTGACATTTCACCTGAATCTATGGCAGACATCCTCAGAGGTTGTGAGGTCTGGTTGGGGCTTATCTGTGCAGAGGTGCAACAGCTCACTTCTCAATAAGAGGGAAGAAAAAGTGGAGGTGGTTTTTTCTTTGACTGCTCTCCCAAAGTAAGGTTTATTGATGGAGTCTGAACCTTGGAAAGAGCAGCATTTGTCCTGGCTTGCATTTGCAGCATAATAGCATTACGTTGCAAATGCTACCTTGGATCCATCATAGATAGATCAAGGCTGGAGAGGTAGGACTAGCATCCAGCTGTTCTTTGGCAGGCAGTATTCCTCCAATCTGCCACTCATTCATTCTGGTAGAATTTGTGTGGACAGTTCCCCAGATGTGGAAGAGGGAGGCCCTACCACTGCGGTTCTGGCATGTTATGATGTACATAAAATTTCCTGCTATAATGATGGGCTTTCAGGAGCTAACTTTAGTATTTTGAGGGATCTGTGACATATTTTAGGAAGAGCCCCCTTTCTCAACCTATTCCTCACATATTATTTTTGGTTTGAGAATCATAGAGTTGGAAGACACCACATGGCCATCTAGTGCAACCCCCTGCCATGCAGGAAAAGCACACTCAGAGCACCCCAAACAACTTGTTGTCCACAAAGATGCCCAAGATCTTTTTAACATGGACTGTTGTTGAGCCAGGCATCACCCATTCTGTATCTTTGCATTTTATTTTTTCTACCTAAGTGTGGTATCTTATATTTATCCTTGTTGAAATTCATTTTGTTTGTTTTGGCCCAGCTCTCTAATCTGTTAAGGTCATTTTGAATTCTGATCCTGTCCTATTAAGTATTAACTATATCCCCTAATTTGATGTCATCTGCAAACTTGATAAGCATGCCCTCTAAACTTCCATTATAGTCATTAATGAAGATGTTAAACAGTACTGGGCCCAGGACCGAACCCTGCGGCACACCACTAGGGAATTCTTTCCAGAATGAAGAGAAACCATTTGTGAGCTCCCTTTGGGCTTGGTCGCTTAACTAACTACAGATGCACCTAACTGCCTCACCCACATTTGACTAGTTAGTTTGCAAGAAGGTCATGGGGGACCTTGCCGGAGGCCTTACTGAACTCGATATACTACATCTACAGTATTCTCTGTATCTACCAAACTTGTAACTCTATAAAAAAAACTTGCTTTTGAGAAATCCATGTTGACTTTAAGTGATCACAGTATTCCTTTCTAAGTGATTGCAGACTGCCTCCTTAATTATGTGTTCCAGAATATTCCCTGGTATTGATGTCAGGCTGACTGGCAGGCTGACTGTTTGGATCCTCCTTTTTTCTCCTCTTGAAGATTTGAACAACACTAGCCCCCTTCCAGTCTGCTAGGACATCTGTTCTCCAAGAATTCTCAAATTTTTGCCAGTGGTTCTGAAATCACTTCTGCTAGTTTCTTCAATATTCCTAGATGTTGTTCAACTGACCCTGGAGACTTGAATTCATTTAAAGTGGCCAGGTATTCCTGGACTACTGCTTTACCTATTTTGGCTTGTTTCTCTTTTGTGGTGTCTGGTGAAATAAGCACGTGATAGTTGATGAACCTGTGCAGCAATCACTGGAAACCTCTGAAAAGCTGAGAAGGCTTGTGGCTGCCACCCCGCCCATCTTCCCCATGAGGCTTATAAGCTCTTTGCTGGCACTGTTTGCAATTGTGCCTTCAGTATCTCACTTTTAAGAAACTTCCATCCATCATTTTAAGAAACTTCCATCCATCACTATTTTTCTTTTAGTTTTCCTCTCCATGGAATCACACTCAATATTTTCTTAAATTTCCTGAAGTCCGCTCTCCTAAAGTCTAGAATGCATGGATCCCACCTCTTCCAATGTATTGAACAGGTCTTCAGTGAAGTGAGTAATTTGTTGGACTTTGTACTCTTGGCAAAGTTTGTTTTCCAACAAATGTCAGTTTAGGTGAAATCCCCTATTACTACCATATCTTTTTTTTCTGCATGTATGGTCATCTGGTCAAGGAAGGCGTCATCCAATTCTTCAGTCTGGCTTGGAAGTCTTTTATAGATCCTCACAACTAAATCTTTTTCAGTCCTTATTCCCTTAATTCTTTTCCAGATGCTCTCAACCTGGTTTCCAGGATTGAAGTCTTACATCTCTTCGTAGGCGTAAATATTTTTGACATATAATTCTACTCCACACCCTCTCCTGTTTGGTCTATTTCTCTGAAAATAGTTATACCTTTCCATTGTTACATTGCAGTTACAGGACTTGTCCCACCAGGTTTCAGTTATGCCTATTACATCATAACTGTTTTGTCGTGCAAATGCTTCCAGTTCATCTTGTTTATTTCCCATGCTATGGGTATTAGTATAAAAACATCTAAGCCCGTGGGACATTCCCCTTAGTTGTTTATTTGAGATTATTGTTCTCTCGCTGCTTGCAACTACTGTATTTTCCGGTGTATAAGACAACTGGATGTATAAGATGACCCTCAACTTTTCCAGTTAAAATATAGAGTTTGGGATATACTCACCATATAAGACTACCTCTCTTCCAATGCACACCTAATATATATATATTTAAAAAATTAGATTTGATTTCAGTATGGTAATTTTCCTATTACCGCACCTTCTTCTCCGGCTCTCAGATGTCGCACATGAATGCCTGCACTGCTTCACTGCAGTCCTCGGGAGTGAAATCTGAGAGGCAGAGAAGGAGGTACAGTAATAGAACACAAGGGCGAGCCAGACGGGTGAAAGAGGCATTTTTTTGGGGGGGGGGGCACAGCACCGCTCTATCTCTTTTTTCCATATCACAGGCATCCCAGACGCCTGCAGCTTGCTCCGCCATTCACTTACACCTTCCCGGTGAGGCGCCCACTCACCTCTTCATTGGGGCCACGTTAAGTCACTTCTTTCCATGAATCCTGGTGTGTGTGTTTTCTTCTATCATACAGTTCCGCCCTTGCTGCTTTCATATGGTTGCTGCAGCTGTTTCTGAGCTCCCCCCACCATATGCATTTTTGAACTCCCCCCACCTTTTGAGAAGTTTTTTCTGGGTTAAAAAGTAGTCTTATATGCCGGAAAATACAGTAGTTGTGTTTGTCCAACCCTATCTTTAGCCTTTTGGCTGTTTACTCCAGGCCTTGATAAACTACTGTTCCCAAGGATAATGTCACCCTCCCTCACACAGCCTAGCTTAAAGTCTGTCTTATCAGGATTGCCAGTCTGTGAGCAAAAACATTCCTTCTTACTTCTGTGAGATGCACCCCATCCTGTGCCAGTAGACCATCTTCCTGGAAAAGCAGACCAAAAATCTAGGAAGCCAAATTGTTCTTCCTGACACCATCTGAAAAAATGCCTCATTGGCTTAAAACAGGTCAATCCTATCTTGCTGAAATGGTTGCCCACCTTTTTTCTTGGGCATCCAAGTTGGCTTTGCAGCATCATTTAAAAAAAAAAATACATGAGGGAGGGATTGGAGAACTACACTAGGGCCATTGGAGGACAGCTGTGCACATGGTCGACGGGCTGCACTTTCTTGGTGAGATGTGGGCGAACATGAAGCAGCCATTTAAAATTCAATCACTTTCTAGTTCTCTTTTCCCTCTCTTCTACCCTGTACAGATCTGGATAAATTTGCTACTGAGGACATAATGGATCCGATTGCCAAGGCCAAGATGGTGGCTTTGAAGGGTATCAAGAAGGTCATGGCACAAGGCAGCATTGGAGTGGCTCCTGGTATGAATAGGTAAGCACTGTGCATGAAGGTTAAGTGAAACAACAACAAATGTGAAAGCTGTGAATCCACAACTCTGGGAAGTGTTTTATTCTAGACATAGCCATGAAATGTTTGAGCTGTGTCCTGATCCCAGACTCCTTTACCAACAAAATGCAAAATGGTATATTTATTTTGTTTCTCTGGGTCACTGAGAAAAGGAGTCCACACAATCTGGGGGTTTCTTCCCATTACTGATCATGGACAGGCCCATGTGGGGCCTAAAGCGGGTGAGGGGGGAGCCCTGATTGGATGCTTCAGGCTTCTGCTATGTCCACACCAAGCTCCCCTTTTGTTCTCGAAGTGGTTCTTTCTTGTTTTATATTCATCTTATGTTGGTTTTCCCTGTCTATCTCCTTTTTTAAAAAGCACAAAACAAAAATTTGCCATCTCTTCTCCTAATCTTTGTATTTTCTTTCCACTTTATGATGTCTCTGGTGAGGAATAAATTAGATACTTTAGCTAAAAAGAGCTATAATTCTCGATCACATTTCTTATATCATGGATGAGTTAAAGCCACTTATGCCTGCCCAGAACATGCAGACAATGCAAAGAGCTCCAGCACATACAGCTCTTCACTGAAATGGTTCCAGCAGGTGATGTGGGAAGCAGTGATATAGTCTTTCCTCAAGTGATTGTAGCAGTACCTATTGTGGAGATATGCCTAAAGCTATTAATAAAGCTTTAGGCTAACACAAGTGAGTTAGTGGAATCGTCCCTAGAAAGACTGCCTGAACCTACTTGGCAGGATCTTTCCATATTTTTGTTAACCCAGAAAGTGATGGCAGGAGGCTTGATTGTCAAAGGAAGTGGCTCCTGATCTGTCCCTTCCTGACAAATTTCTCCTGTGAATACTGTGGCTGGCTCTCACAGACCTGTCTCCTCCTTTTCGAGGGACAGTTTTTTCATGCCTTATAGCTACACTCGGATGTACAGGCCCCTGGGGAGGGCTTCAGGACCAAGAGGTCTATGATCCCAGCAAGGGGGGAACTGCACCTGGAATAGTATGAATAATATGACATCCAGGGAGTGAAGGGCAATTTCAAGGGGGGAGGAAGGTCTTGGGAAGAAATCTGGCAGTGTGATGTCTTGTCACATGTGAAAGTGGGAGACGACCTTAGGGAGGAAGGTGACGTCTGTGCGAAGGACAACTTTGCTCTCATGGAAGCAGATAAAGGGGGCGTCGGAACAACGGACCGTGAGCTCACTGGCCCTCCGCGCTGAAGTGATAGCAATGAGAAAGGCAGTTTTCCAAAAGAGATGGGAGATGTCGCTAGTCAACATGGGTTCAAAGGGAGGTTTGGAAAGTTGAGAAAGGACGAGTTCTAAACTCCAGGAAGGAAGGGGTAGGAGGTGGGTGGGTGGATATTTTTGTATCCTTTAAGAAATAGGTGAATAAGGGGCTCCTGAAAAAGGGATTGGAGGTCTGACTTTCTCCTTTACCAGGAAAGTACTGCAAGACAGCATTTGATAGAGAGGGCAAATCCTTTTGCTGAGAGGTGGACTAGAAAGTCAAGGACAACAGGATTTGGAGCCGAATTGAGTTGATGACCCAGGGGTTGTAGGAACTTTTGAAACATGTTCCATTTGTAAGTATAGGCTTTTTTTTGTGGATGACTTCTGGGCTGCTTGGATTATGAGTCGGACCGACTCAGAGAGGTGGGATGTGGTCTGATCCTCCAGGCCTTTAGGTGGAGACAAGGGAGGTCTGGGTGTTGGATCAGGCCGTCTTCAAGAGTGAGGAGATCTGGGTCGGGAGGGAAGTGTAGGAAGTCGCCTTGAGAGGCTTGGAGAAGGGGAGTGAACCAGGGTTGGCCTGGCATAAAGGAGACCGCAAGACCATTGAAAAAGGAAGGTGTCTCCTAAGCAGCCTGGGAATGTGCGAGGCCATGGTTTTGCACATGTAAGGAAGCGTAATCCCACCTAAATGGGATTACCAAAATTACGTAAATATGTATGTTAATCCACCTAATTTCAGCATAAATTATAAGGAAGTCCCAAAATTGCTTGATTACACCGCCACCATTATATATATAGAGACGTTGGAATTGAAGTCTCTGTTTATCCCTATCTGCGTTGTGAGGCAACTTTGGTAGAGTGGATTGCACCAAATGTAAAATCAATGGAGGAGGCAGATTTATAACACAGAGAGAACAAGTTTATTGTTAACAGAGCGTAATTGTTGCAATACTGAGATGTTGAACTTGGCACAAGCTGGATGGTTACAATATGGCTTGGTAGAGATACATTCAGGCTTCTGATGTTACAATCCTTTAAACTCCTTCTTCAGTGAAGTACTTTATTATTTCAGTGTTCCCTGTTGTGAATATTCACTCTGTTTGTCCTATACCGGATCAAACCACCGATCTCCAGTCTTTCACTACTGGGATCCCTAAAACCCCCTTTGTTAGATTCTTTTTAACACAAGCAATCTAACAAGGTTTCACCTTCAGCTCCCTTGCTGAAGAAATATTCACAAATGCTAAGAACTAACTGAATTTATACTGCTTCACCACACAGAGCCCTAACTGACTCCGCTCCTCTTCTCAGGGTCTCATCCTCCTGACTGACCATTAACTGTTACTTTCAAACCTTTTTCTCCTTAAGCTCCGCCCACCTTCTCTTCTGCCTTGTCACCATGGCAACCTATCTCTCACAGCTAGGCCATGGCCACCCATGTAAAACATAAATACAGTTTAAACACAGTACAATAAACCCTTTATAATAAACACTTCTCTACACCTTCCCCCCCAGAAAAAGTATTTTTGAACCATTCTCAATCCTAGAATGGCAAAAATAATTCCACATTTTAGTCAACAATAAATACATACACCAATTCTGAAAGGGAAACATATTATGGTTAAGTACATTTTAATTACACATATATACAAACCTTTAACCTATGGAATCCTAGATAAGGCGTCCGCAACTATATTTCGTTTACCTGAAACATGTTTCATTTCAAATATAAAATCTTGTAAACACAAACTCCATCTTAACAATTTGTTATTTGTACCTTTTACATTATCCAGCCACCGTAATGGAGCATGGTCTGTTTGTAAGGTGAACTTCCTACCCCACAAATACGGTTTTAGTTTCTTAACGGACCAGATAATGGCATAGCATTCTTTTTCAATTGTTGACATACTATACTCATTAGAATGCCATTTCTTACTTAAAAACAATATAGGTCTGTCTGGGTTACTTTATTTAACTTCCTATAGTCTACACAAAACCTAATTGTCTTGTCTGGCTTCTGTACTAACACTATAGGTGAGGCCCAAGAGCTAACCGATGGAGCAATAATACCTAGGTCCAACATTTCTCTAATCTCTTTTTCAATGCATTCATTTATTCTCCCCGTGACCCTGTAGGGTGGAGATACTATGGGAGTTGCATCACCGGTGTTTATTCGATGCTGGACTCCTTGGACCTTTCCTGGCAAATCTGAAAATATGTCTCTATATTTACTTAAAACTTCCACAACCTCTCTATGCTGTGGTTGGGACAATTCTATGTTCATATCTACCCGATCTAAATTTTTGTACTGTTCACGATCACCCTCCCAAAAAGAAAAGGGACCGGATTCCTCTTCCGAAACAACAAAACATACATTCACAGACCTTACAACATAAGGCTTTAACATGTTTACATGGACTCTTCTTTCTACATTGGAATGTTCATCAAAAATATCATAGTTTATCTGGCTGTGCTTTCTGATGATCTTCCAGGGTCCAGACCAATCCAATTGAAGTTTGTTGGTTTTGCTGGGAGACAAAAACAAAACTTCATCTCCGAAGTTGAAAATCTTTGGTTTAGCAGTAGAGTCATAATAGTCTTTTTGTCTCTGCTGAGCCGCAAGCAAATGTTCTTGAGCAATGTCTCTAGCTAGCTGCATTGTTGCTTGAAGATCCTTTAAATACTCCGTCACTGGAACTGGATCTGTCGCCGGACTTTCTTCCCAATATTCTCTTATCAAGTCTAACGGACCACGAGCTTTCCTTCCATATAACAATTCAAATGGACTGTAGCCAGTGCTGTCATGAGGGACGGTCCTGTAGGCGAATAACAATTGTTGCAATTTGACATCCCAGTCGTATGGTTTCTCTTGACTATAAGACTTTATCATTTTGACTAAAGTCTTGTTCATATTTTCAACCAGTCCATTTGTCTGTGGATGATATGCCGTTGAAGTCAGGTGTCTAATTCCACATAACTCAAGCAATTTCGACATAAGCCTGGAAGTAAACTGGGTTCCCAAATCCGTAACCAATTCTCTAGGATAACCAGTTCTTCCCCAAATAGATAACAGGGCATTTGCAATTGTTGTTGTTTCGATGTTAGTCAGAGCTACAGCTTCTGGGTATCTTGTGGCGTAGTCAATCATGGTTAAGATGTATCGGTAACCACGTCTACTTGGTTTACAAAGAGGACCCACTATATCAATGCCTACTCTGTAAAATGGTTCTCCAATTATTGGCATAGGAATCATAAGAGCTTTAACTTTATCCCTTCCAGTACTCAATCTCTGGCAGATGTCACAAGATTGGCAAAATTCTTTGATCCTCTGGAATATTCCAGGCCAATAAAAATTCTTAGTGATCCTCCTCGTGGTTTTCCTCACACCCAAATGTCCACCTTGAGGGTTCTCATGTGCCACCCTCATCAGCTGCTCTCTAAAACCTTGAGGTACTACAATTTGACTATATGCCACTGATCCTTCTGTCGAGTTTACCCTTCTGGTTTCTCTATATAAGACACCATTTTTCAGCACAAACTCGGAGGGCTGTTCTCTCGCCGATACTGTGGGGTTTTGAGCCAAAGCAAACAGAGGTTTAAGAGAATCATCGGCTCCTTGTTCCTGCCGAATCTCTTCAACTCCTCCTGTCTTCTTAACAAGCTCAGCAACTGTAGCACTGGATTCCGGACTCTCATCCTCATCTTGTTGTATGGCAAAACACAGGGCTTTTTTT